ATGTCTTAACGGCTGAAATTCTGAATTCCAAAATGCTAGATTAGGTTCTTGGGTCATGATATGAATTGTAACTAATCTTTGTGACTATTTAATCTTCAAATATGTGCTTCAACCCCAGCAAACCGCATGTATACTGCACCCCACCCCAAAAGAATCATCTGTATTTTAATGCCACAGCTCTTATTGGTCCTTTTTTTTGTTGAGACTGATCATGACAGCGTTCAATTCAAGATTATGAAAGTGTTACAACGCCGCTTCAAGTCCGCAAAACCTCAACTGTAGCCAACTTGACAAATTCTTCAGTGTTACAATAGATTCAAAATCCATCTGCACATTGTGGTAGGTATTTGTACAGTTCTTTTAATTATACACAGCTTTAACCCATCAACCTGATGAGTTTAAAACACTTTGGCACCCATGCCTTCACTTCAGAATGAACACTTTCATTGTGATCCTATGTTAACCTGAAAATTGATTGATTTAAAGATGGATAATCCTACACTTGCATAATGTAAAAATACAGGGGCTACAGGTGGGGACCTAATTAGAAAGTTCTGCAAACACAGAACACATACTGGAAAATTTTCCAGCCAATTTCGCTACCTCCCAACTTGGTGGATTAGAGGTAGCAGACAAATGCTGGTGCTCCCATCTACCTTGTAGACACCCAGCCATCAAGAATCATCAAGGCACAAGTGCACTCACCCATTGTTCACAGTAAATGTTTGGAAAATATTCAGTTTAATTTTCAGCATTTTGAATGTTGTCTTATCCAGATTTCAAATCTGAAAAACTATAATCCTTTTGCGTTATACAAAATTACTATTATTTTTTACAGTTCTGAGCATATTAAAATTCTATTGGATTTCAAAAAGGGACTAATAACCAATTGACTTACTATACAAATATCAACTTCTAATACTCAAATTTTTTTTGCGGTTTACACTTTACCTTTTGATTTAGTGAATGTGTATATTTAATTTTTTTAAAGGCACCATTACACAGTATATCCTACATTTAATCACATTTCTTAAAGTGTTAAGATATTATGACTCATTTCTATGTATTTTTCTTACTTTACAAAATAACTTGAAACAGTATAGATTTTGTAACACTTAATTTGAGCAGCTTCTTTTTTTATTACATTGAATTAAAGCGCATGCTACCTTAGAAAAATTAATATTTGCTGCTTTACACTTTTGCAAAACATTTGCTGTAATGAAGGAATTTGTATTTCCAATATGTATCCTGACTGCATTTTGTAGTATTTACTGCTTTATTCCTAATTCTGCTTTAAAGTATTGAATTGGGCATGAAACATTAAAATATTAATCCAGAACCTGTATAAACTGGATGTTGCTTAAAATCTGTATCACTGCCATATTGGAAACCCAGACTGCTTTTGTGATGTTTTAAATTAAAACTGTCCTCCTCCTTATCCACTTACATGCGTCCTCATGGTATATACAAAAGTATAACAACTACTCTAAAGCAACCAATAGCAACCAACTCACTTCTGACTATTACAATTCGAGATACAATGGGATGTGGTTAACCAAAATATGAAACTTAATGGGAATTTCTGCCATGCTGTCATCAGAAATACAGCTCCAGTCTTCTGCTACGGAAATTGAAAAATATAAAAGCCTATATAATTTCTGAAAGACAATTTTGTAAAAATGCACTCAAAATTAGAATTAAACATTTTATTTTTGCCATAAGAAGTTCTACGAACTAATATCAGGTAATGGTTAGTGAAAAGTAGAAGTTAAAGTCATGATAGGGAAGACTGTACAAGTATGAACATTACAGTATTGGGGAAAATAAACAGGGTTTCATATGATTGACAGAGGTTAAGAAGCCAGTGCTACTGAATTAGCATTTAATTCTTTAAAATATGCATGCTTTGACAATACAAAATACCTCAATCAACATTTATGGGCCGGCCTGGTGGCACACTGGAAACTGCGCCGCTTGGGAGTGTGGCGGCGCTCCCGCC